ACATTGGATTTGAAAGCAACACCCTTTCCTCCATACATCCACACTTCCTGAATCCAACGATACCAGTTATGTGCACATCGGACCTCCGCTTCACCAGATACGGCCAGGTAAGTTTTGGCCAATCAGATCGCATATGCTAATGAGGGTGGAATTAATGAGGGTGAAACTCGTTTTTATCTATATACCTAACCCTAACCTAACCCTAACCCTAACCCTAATCTATATATGCCCATATAGGATCCACAAAAAATGTATTATTTATAAACAATAACATTTGGTTGAATAAATTGCAAAAGCTGCACATTTTGTCAGGATATTGAAGAAAAACAGTCCAAATAAAAACTTTTCAAAACACAAAACCGTGAGTCTGAAGCCCAAAAAAGTGCTTCCATCCATCCTGAAATCAATCCATGTGGCTCCAGGGTGCTAATAAAGGCCTTCTGAAGTGGGTCGCTTTGTTTTTGTAAGAAAAATATAAATTTTTAGATCTTTATAAATTGAAATTACAAGCTTCCGGCAGACGGTAGACTTACGGCAAAAACGTAAGAGATGGAGCATATGACGTCGAATGTAGCGTAAGCATTTGCCTCTCGCAGTTCTAAACAGTTACGCTACGTCCTACGTCGCGTCAGATATCCTTTTGCCATAAGTCAACTGTGCACCGGAAGCTAGTAATTTCAGTTTAGAAAGTTTTCAAAATTTATATTTTTCTTACAAAAACAAAGTGATTTGCTTCAGAGGGCCTTTATTAACCCCCCCTGGAGCTGCGTGGATTGATTTCATGATGGATAGAAGCACTTTTGTGGGCTTCAGACTCATGGCAGGCATTCATTGCATCATAAAGCTTGGAAGAGCCAGGATATTTTTTTAAATAACTCTGATTGTGTTAGTCTGAAAGAATATATACATATGAGGAAAAAAAATTAACTTAAATGATTTGAGCAAATGGCTGCAATATAACAAAGAGTGAAAAATTTAAGGGGGTCTGAATACTTTCCGTACCCACTGTAAGTCATATACATCTAGGATGGCTTTAGGGTGAGTAAATCAAGGGATAACAAACAATATACAGTCATCAATCAATTTTGGACAATACAGGAATTTCATTCTTTTACTCATTACAAACAATTAGCTCCAACTTTGTATTCAATGGAAACAATTCTAACCTAATTAGTGGAACATATATTTGTATACACAGGAATTGTAAGTGATCACAACAATTCTTTACCACCATCTTGGTATTCAAAATTAAAAACATTGGCCCATACTCTTTGTGGTGAAATGTTAATGAGTCCCACTGATATGCAGTGGACATTGTATGTTTCCTGGCAAGAAACTTGGTAAAATTCTCCAACTTCAATTCTAAAAGTTGGAGAATTTTTGAAAAGTTTGTTTTTTGGACCATGAAATGGTGTTAAGGTATTGCATGTTGATTGGTGTACAACATTTTAAAAAGCTGATGGTGCTCTTTGATTAGATGTTTAAGAGATACAGTCATGCCATCAGAAACCCCTGGAGAAAAGACAAATTTGATTATTCGCAACAAATTCCAGTTTCTATTGTCTTGTGGCACCACATCACCAAAAAATAATGGGGTATTCTTAACAAGACAGAGAGTTTGTATATAATTCAGACCCAAACTGTTGTTACGGAGTCACAAAATATTATTTGCATTTAAAACATATATGGCTAATTCAGTAATTTTGCTCTCAGCTCCTTAACTCTTGGTGACTCCTTGGTTTTCCCTACATCAACCATGTAGATTGTTGTCTGAATGAAAGTGTAAAAATGAAGGAGTGCCTCATCATACGCTAAATTAAAAACAAAATGTGCTTTAAATAGTTCATCAAATGCACAGAGGGATGTATCCGACTGACAAGGGATGAGATTCTTATTTAGAGCTATATAAAAGTGCTCAATCTGGTTGCGGTTCCTGCCAACAGCAAGCAGGTATGGCTGTCTTCCTTCTCGTTGCTGAAGATGTTGTTCAAGGCTGATACGAGACTACAAAGAGACAGATGAAAAACATTCTACAAGATGCAGTCACATAATAATGAAAAAGAAAAACTTAGGAACAGTAAATTCAGGAAGATTTAAAGCAGTCACATTCCTAGTCTCATTACCTTCTGATACACCACAAGCCTGTTTATGGCATCTGATGCACTGATTTTTGAGACCTTCTTTCCAGGTGATGGTGGAAGTAGATGGAGCAGCAAAAGCAATGTTGCCATGTCACTGTCCCAGTCTAAAATTCAGATATAATTGACAAGGACTTTATCCAGATAATGTTTTTGTGAAGGCATCACTTATGCTTTGAGGCTACCAATTTAAAGGTTTACTCAAATAAATGAAGTTGAGAAAATAACATCTTACCAGAACAATGTTCACTATCTCTCTGGTTATTTGCTGACAGAAGAAGTGAGCACACAACAGCAGTTGAAGTCAAGCCTATGGCTTCTTCGATAATTTTTGCCTTAAAAGTGGTATCCCACATTTCAAGCAACTTTGACGATGTTTCAGGACTGAAGAGTAGTGAGAAGTCTTGATTCACCTTTAATTAAAAAAAGCATAAATAAGAATTCTGAATATTGCCCATTACTCTTTGAATAAGCTGTTTGAATCTCCAAACTTACAAGTCCCTTAGTGTTTAGAAATGTAGGAAAGGTTTTCAGAATGTCTGTCGTCTTGTTTGGGTCATGAACAAGCCTATGCCTATAGTGAAAAGTCTCCCTCATTTTGAGTAAGATCTGTGCTTCATCTGTGGAATGAGTAAGAAAGGCAATTGCCTCTCTTAAAGTATCCTCATCCTGCTGCTCAAAGCTGGAACATCTGTTCCAAGAAGGTCCACTCAAGCCAGTCTCACTTCTTTTGAAGATGCTAGGCTTATTTCGCTTCTTGGCGTTCCTCTGAACAGTCTTCAGTCGCCATGCAATGTATCCAGTCCCACTGTCTGTGTCATAAAAATGTTCCTATGGCATTTAAAAGAACATTATAAGGTTCATTATTCAAAGGGACAATCTAGACAGCTACAATATACAATACACAAGTTAAGGATACTCACATAACCTTTTTTTGAAAACGGATCCTTTAGTGATGGGAAAAGAGTCACAACACCTAGAGCATACGTCTCCTTCTGGTTCCTTGTGGGAATTCTCCTTAAAAAGCACAGACATAGACTATACATAAGCAAAAACACAACAATCACGTGTACAAACATGACAGCCGGTATACAAACAGCACCAGGAATATTAGGCTGCTAAACCCCAATGTCCGCCTAATAACATTGCAGTCATGAGGGGTTCGCCCTCCCTGTAGAAATATTGGATACAGGATACCGAATCTATTACTCAAAATGTTCCTGAGGTCAGCCTCAACAGGTTGATTCCTCCAGTAGATTTCCTTGAAGCCTGGCACACACTACACAATGTGTCTCATTGGATTGTGAAAACAATTCGGAGAGTCAAATCAAGCCCAAGGACTGGTTTCTCACGATAGATCAAAAGGATGGTTATTTCCGTATCTCCATTTTTCTGCAGCACAGGAAGTTCCTGATGTCCGCTCTCGGGGGCAAAGCATACCAATACCAGTTCGGCCTAGCGTTAACCCCTTGCACTTTCATGAAATGCATGGATGCCACTCTGGCTCCTCTAAGACTCCAGGGCATCCGAGTTCTCAATTTTTATATGATTGGTTAATATTAACCCAGTCGCAAGGAAGCACAGCATGGAAGCACGGCATTGACCATATAAAGTGCTTGGGGTCAAGACTCAATGGCAATAAAATATGCTCACTCCAGTTTAGAGGACAACTTTTCTGGGAGTTGGTTATGATGCGGGCACAGTTGTCTCTCGCACATATCGAATCGATTTTGGCAGCAGTAATCAGAATCAAGCTAGGCCAGTTCATCACTGAGAAACAGTTTCAGAGACTGTTAGGGCTCATGGCGGCAGTGTTCAATGTGATACATTTTGGCCTACTGTACATGAAACCTCTGCAGTGCTGGCTCAGCACCAGGGGGTTTTCCCCAAGGGGTAACTCATCTCGCACAATCAAGTTCATGCACATTCCTTGGTCGTGTGGAAGAAGCCTTGGACGGGGATAAGTTGACTCGTTGACTCTAAACCCCATTCTGGCGGGCCTGAGTGTGGTTTTCGGACCTTATAGCACTACTAGATCGCCTCCCATGGAAGATCCCAATCAGGAGTAACATTCACACACATGCTGTAGGCACGATATTTCACCCCCGGCCAGAGAGGTGAAAGCTGTGGGTCTGGTCCCTGAGGGGGATCAGTTCCTAAGTGAGGGTCTCTCAGCTGAGGTTGTAGAGACCATTCTCAATTCTAGAGCTCCTTCCACAAGGAAATGTTATGCTCTAAACCTGAGAGTATTCACTTTATGGTGCAGAGAGCATAAGTTAGGACACAGGTAACTGCCCACTGGATTTAGTGCTGGAGTTCCTTCAAAACAGTTTTCCTGCCAATTTTCCCCATCCACACTTAAGGTGTACATGGCAGCCTGCCTTCCACACACCATTAAGTGGTGGTTCTTTGGGAAAGCACCACCTTGTGATTTGTTTCCTTCATCATACTCAGCGGATAAGGCCTATGGCTCAGGCTAGAATTCCAGTTTGGGACCTAGCTATTGTCTAGGAAAGGATGACCCTGGCACCCTTCAAGCCCGTGGATGGTGCATCTGCTAAGTGCATCACTTTTAAGATTACACTCTTGTTGACAATCACTTTTATAAAGAGACTAGGAGATTTGCAGGCCTTGTCAGTTGCCTCCTCCTGCTTGGAGTTGAAGGGTGAAAGCTATTCTTCACCCGAGACTGGGTTATGTATCTAAAGTACCCACTAATGTGACCCGGTCCAGGGTCCTTCAGGCCTTTCATCCTCCTCCTCATGGGTTGGTGGAACAAGAGATGCTACACATTATATATTTTGTGAGGGCCCTTGAAGTTAATGTTCAGATGACCTCTACTTGTAGAAAGACTGAACAGTTGCAGATATGTTTTGGGTCCCCTAAGAAGGGCTGGCTAGCTAATCTATTAGTGGATTGTAGAGGCAATTTCTATGGCTTATGAGGAACACGACCTGCCTTTGCCTCTTCAAGACACAGGGTATGAAATCATCTAAGGCTTTATTTTCAGGGGCATCCCTCTAAGACATTTATGATGCGGCAGGTGGGTCCTCCCCACATACTTCTATAAGATTTTTTTTTAGCCTGGACATCCTAGTTACGAGGTCTCAGGTGCTCATGTCCCGAGTTGTGCCCAAGCAGCTTCACATTAGAACACATAGAACATTAGATATTTTGTCATTATGGCGTAGTGGGTATTTAGTTCCACAAAGTGTTGCCATACAACTCAACACAACTTTGGGTACGACTATAACTCCTCTTCCCTTTGCCATATTTTCTGTGTGCCTGGGAGTGGCTTGCTTCATCCTATCAGAAGCTAACTCTATTGTGATGCCAGCTTCACTTTGTAGCTTTTATATGACGCTGTCATGCCTATGAGTATTTAAGAGCAAATAAAAAGCAGTTTTACCCATGCATTTCCACCATATGTCCAACCAAAATGTTGACTAGGACTCGTCTCATTTCACTTGAAAGTGTATTTTTGGAACTGTATTCAGCAAGGACAGCATCTCCTCCACTTGTCTGCTTTAGGGCACTACGAACCATCTTCAAAAAAAAAACATGATACATCAAAATTTTACTAACTTAATGTATTTAAAAAATAAAACATGTACTAAATTTAAATGAACAAGTAACCTCTTTTGCCTCAGCTGCTGCATCATATGTCTTAGATTTCTTGTAAGGGCGTTCTGGCATTTGGTCAAGTTCATATGATGAATGACTAAGTGACAAAATGTCAGTCCAAGAGCTGCTTGTTGCATCTGATAACATTTCTGAAACACAAGAACCTATTACAACATAAATAACCATTTATTTGTTACACAACAGGAATGCAATGCCATACTGTACCTTCATTCTCTCTTCTAACAATAATGAGCGACGTATCAGGTCTCGCATTGAGCACATCTTGTAAAATGTCCTCGTCTATCTCAGTTTCAGTGTCATCATAAATGTGTAGATTTGTCTCAGGTGGTAGGCCAAACCTACTGTGGACTAAACATATACAGCATTTTATGTATGAAATAGAAACAACAAACAAACAAATGAAGTAAAAAAAAAAAAACCCACCTTCATTAACAAAGTCTGCAAAAGTGAATCCATCCTGAAGTCTGATAAATTTCCTGGAGTCCTGATATCTAACTTTGATCAGCAGCATGTTTCAAATCTGACAAAGCAAAAAAAGATGTAATTAAAGACTATAAACATATACATTGCATAAACCTGTCATTTAGATGGGTTTGCTAAAAAAAATGACATCTCTAAGTGAATTTTCTAAAAGCCTTTATAGTTACATTACTTATGCATGATTTTTGGAAGATGTTCCAACAATTGTGAAATTAAATGAATGATTAAAGGTGTAGTATGTAAGAGGGCTTTTACACTAGCATTTTTGGTGTGCACCCGGGTTTGATTGACGTCAGAGTTCAGTATATTTGGATGATGTGAACGCTGTCTTCTGAAGTTGGGTGCACACCCGCGAACCGCACCCGAGTCCACTTAAAAAGGGTGGTCTGGGGTACAGTTCAAGTGAACTCTGGTACGGTTTGCTGCTGAAATAAACGCAAACATACCAAATCGCTGAAGTGAGTCATTATTAATAGCGTGTTATTTGATAAAAATGTGTGCTTGCGTGTGCGTTTCACGCTCTCATTTACTGATGAGTGTGGCTGACTCGCTTCAAGCAGAGAGCTGTATATCTCATTTCTTCTCACCTTCAGCGTTCTTTAGAGCATTTGCAGTATATTCACGGCAGATAGACGCAAGTGCCTTATGTTACAAAACTTTGGAAACAAAACCAATGGTTGAAAATCAAAAATATAAAAGTGAGGAGAGCAGCGTTATGCATTTTGCCGCCTTCTCCTGCGCCGTCGTTACTAAGCAATGGTGTAAACAGCTGCTGGTTTGATGACACAAACGAACCGCGGTTCGGACCCAAAAAATATATCATGAGCAATTTTGATATTAAAAGATATTACAAATTTATACAGAGTAATTTTTTCTCATTATATATTTATTCCCATGTGTAAACTATAGTAAATTATAGTATACTGTATATATTATAGTATTTACAACACTTTGTTAATGAATGCTACTGCATACTGTAGGTATTAACTATAGTGAACTGATAAAGTGTAATAAATACTGTAGTATACTTCCATTTTTACTACAGTAAACTGTAGTGTATTGTAGTTTAATATACCCTATAGTCGTATAAGACGTACAGTATTGAGTCAAGTAAATTGTTTATATTACTATATTTGTTATATTACCACAACAACTATAGAATTATAAGAAAAGAAAACAAATTCATTCAAGTACTTTACTATAGTATGGTTCAAAAAAACTATAGTATTTACTATAGATTACTTTAGTATTTTTCAGAACTGAATTACCTCTATTGCTCCAGATAAAACTGATTTTCCAGAATTATTGAGGCATGATGCAAAATAGTTTAACTTAAATGTCCATTGACATTAACTTCATTTGGCAAATGGATTACGATACATGATTGGTATAAGGATGCAAACTACAAGTAGACTGATCCAAGAAAATGTTTCAGTGGGAATCTCTTGTGAAAGAACATTCCCTTCCTCTATAATAGCTGTTACTGTATGTTAGCATTAGCATTTGCCTGTTGTTGTGTGAGGAGGTTTGTGTGTTTCTCTTACCAGTCTGGCAGCTCCTCTCTCGCCAACTTCACTCCTCTGTAGTAGCTGTTACTCTTTGTCTTTTAGCATGTTTGTTAGCATTAGCATTAACATGTCTGTTGTCGTGTGAGGAGGTTAGTGTTTCTCTTACCAGTCTGGCAGCACCTAATCTCTCTCTCCAGCTTCACTCCTCTCCTCTTTAGTAACTGTTACTCTTTGTCTGTTAGCATTAGCATTAACATGTCTGTTGTTGTGTGAGAAGGTTGTGTTTCCCACAAGCTGTTCGTCTCCTCATCTCTCTCCAGTTGCACCCCTCTCTTCTGTAGTAGCTGTTTTTCTTTGTCTATTAGCGTGCTTGTTATAATTAGCATTAGCGTGTTTCTCACCAGTCTGGCGGCTCCTCATCTCTCTCTCCAGCTGCACTCCTCTCCTTTATTGTAGCTATTGCTGTATGTTTGTCTGATAACATTAGCATGTCCCTTACAAAAAATAACTGCAGTACATTGAAGTACAACTGTAGATTTGCAGTATAATGAAGTACAGATTGCATGTGAAGATTTCAGATGCAAAAACGTCTGTCTCATTTATTTACAGTAGGCAAGTTTTTTTTATTTTTTTTATGTAGACTCCCTATAAAAATATTCATACAAAAATATTTTTGTACAAAAAATATTTGCCTATGGAATATTTCACCCACATAGATTAATAGCCTGCACGTGACGAGATCTTCCTTCGTGCCAACAGTCGTTGTCCTGACAACGAGTCTTGCGAGTAGCTGAGATTACTGATAATGGTAAATCAGCGTCTTTTCCGTAGTGTCTGCTACAGGATGGATATAAAAGTATAAAATACATTTTGGTTTGACAACTTCATTCATATGTGGACTATCACAAGAAAAGCATAAAGACATAACAACATTACACCCCGAGGCCACTCACAAGTAAGTGGGACAAAAGAGAAGAACTGCTTTCTGGAAGAGAAGTTCATCAGGCGAGTTGGAGCGTTGACTTTGTCGAGTCATCCAGTTTAGCGGTGAGTATAACATGTAATGTCCTCATATCTTTAGTTATAATTTTAGAGAGATGTAAAAAGACTTGACGGATATCTTATTCAACCCGCTGAGCAAATGAGAGGAAACGCCGCTTCCATACTGATATGTAACACACGCGGGTCAGTGCGCGAGGTGCTTATGAGGGAAAATAAAACACACAGAACTTAAAGTCAGCGTGAACCAGAAGTTGCTGCCGGCTTTATTTCAGTGTAGTGACGTATTTCCAGCTGAAACGGAATATTGAATTGAGGGCGTGGTTTTATTTTTGTGCTCCTCCTCTCTGTCTCTCACTCAAAGCAACTAATAACGGTTGGAGGGTGTGTTTAAGGATATTCTGTCCAAGCCGTCAAACTGAGAAGTAATGCCATTCCAGAGCGGAAGCCAATGTCCAGATTTTGATGAAAGATTACCATGACAAATATTTGTTTCAGCGGATTAACTGCACGGATTAATTGTTCACATCAAGACTAACAATTTGCGCTAATAAAGTAAATAAAGTCCATTTTGATTTCATGCAAACTTTAAGTCTGATAGAATGACAAAACAACTGGTTTAATGCTGTTTTTACTACACTTTTACTATAATAAAACAAATTATATTTATATTATAAAATATTAAAATCTAATCTAATAAAACATCAACATCCCAATCCAACGATTGATGTAACCCTGTGTATAGATGCATTTAATTATGCTATTGCTCAGCAATTTAGTAATAAGCTGATTATTAATAAGCAGAAATTAGTCATGTCATTGTCCAGCTCAGTTCAGTTCTCAATCTAATAGCATCAGAACATTATTTATAATAATGGAATAAACAAAATGCACTGAATATACTGTGTATTTGTTTTTGTTTTTCTAGGAGAGCTTCAACCCCTAATTGACATGAGGAAAAAGATAATTGAAAAGTGTTCCATTGATAGTGTGCCCATCTTTGCAACAGAGCAACATTAGGAGAGAGGAGAAGAGAGAAAGTGAAAGGCACTCAACAGATGTTGGTGAGACTTTATTTCTGTAAATGCATTAAAGGTCACTCACATTCTAGTCAGCCACAAATGTAAACCTGATTTTAGATAGTATTTAAATGAGATTAATAACTCCAGCTATTTGTAGGCCTACATTCCTGTATATTTCAAACTAAATTGTGATGCAGCATGAATCATAATCACACCATGTTCATTTGTTGGCCACTGGAGAACTGATCCCTAAACTTCTCCCAAAGTTTTTTTTCTCCATTCTGTCACCTGATGGAGTTTGTGTTCCTTGCCACTGTCAACTTTTGCCTTACTTATTTGGGGACACATAATATTCAGCAATATTATTGATCTGACTCCACTGATACTATTGGATGAGGACTGAACTGAGCTAGATGATGGCACCACTGTTTTCTGCAGAACTGCTATGTAGATGCATTGGAATTATTTTATTTTTGATCATTTTTATACAGTTATTGAAATTAAGTTAAACACTGATTTCAACTGAACAATGACAATTTTTTACTTTTTAGAGCTGCTTCACAGCAGAATTTAATTCTGTTTGCAGCTTTGAAACAATCTGTATTGTATAAAGCACTATATAAATAATGGTGACTTGACTTAAATTGGTTCAGATCTTCAAAAAAGTGCATGAAACAAAGGCAACCTGAATAAACACAAAATACAGTTTATTAATGATAACTGTATATGCTTTTATTTTGTTAATTTTCTTTGGAATATCTCACAATATTTAGTATTTGATATACACAAAAATAGAATAAATAAATTTTTTGGCAGCACTGTACACAAGCATTTATGTTCAATAGTGTGACATCTGAAGAAATTTACATTTCTTTAGTGTGTGATTGCTATTTTCAGGAAAATGCACTGATAACAACCAAAACAAGATGACCAAAAATATAATTCAACAGAAGATAATGGCTGTGAAAGAAGGGAAAAGTTAATCTTCCAAAATGGAGCAGCAATATCTTTTCAGGTAAAAGTATTAGAACCGTGTCTAGGGACAAGCTGCTCTGACCTTTTCAGTCCGTTTGTATCCTATTATTTGATTTGCTCTTGTCGCTTATGACAGAACAGATCATATATATATATATATATGAAGAGTTTGGTTCCAAAACTCAATAAATCCATTTAGATTAATTTGAGTAAAAATGTGTTTGTTTGTTTTTTTTTACCAAGAAAGTGGCAAGATGAAAACCACTATTTTCTGTTTCAAACTTTCACATAGCATCTTTAGGTTATAATAACATAAATTCAAATCCAGATTTTGATTTTCAAAGATTTATTATAAACACTGATAATTTTTTCACAAAATGCAATAAATCCATTGAATCAATATAAAAGTTATTTTTCAAATTGAAAATACACAACAAAGTAGGGTTGCTCCACACATGACAGCCTCTGAACTTGGTCAATACTAATCTTATTACATGTGGGATGTTGCTGAAGCGTCTTCTAAAATCCAGATACTACATTTGCAGCATTTATCAAATTCACGGATAGTTGTGTATGCATTTGTTGATCATCTCGGGACTAGTTTAGAGCTCTTTACTCTTTACTGTCGCTGGTGTTCGAGCTGTAAGTGTTTCCGGTGCGACTCAATGAAGGCTCGAGCGCCGCCTGCAGGACGCGACGCCACGCGACGCCGACAACGCGTCATTTACCCGCGACGAGCCTGCGAAGAGATGGCTTCGATTCAGAAGGGGAAGAGGGTGGTAAATCAAGAGGATTTACGGCGGTTTATGAAGGAGAAGAAACTATCGAGCGAGCGACAGAAACGCGTTGACTCGCCGCACGCCAAATACAACAGTCTGGGTCAGCTGAGCTGCGCGCTGTGCAACGCGCCGGTGAGGAGCGCGCTGCTCTGGCAGACACACGTGCTGGGAAAACAGCACAAAGATAAAGTAAGCCAGCTGAAGAACAGAGACAGCACCGAAGCAGCGGCAGCATCTTCATCATCCTCCGCGCTGAAGAGGCCCGCGCCGGAGCCCGCGTCTACATCCGGGAAACGCGCGAAGCTGCCGCTCACCGGAGGCGCAGGTGAGACTCGAACCTTCAGCGTCACAATCATAAGATCTATATGTGCAAATGCGACAGTATCAGCACGTGTTTCATACGTGTTCACCTGCATTAAGATCCGTTCAGCTCTACAGGTGTAAACCACTGTTGCCAACTCTCGCGAGACAAATAAGCAACGCAGCTTCAAAAACAAGCCCAATATTTTTTTGATGATTTATTATCATCAGTATTATTTATTACCAATAAATGAGCCTGCAACATATTAAACTGAAACCACTCTTTTATCTGAAAAGCAAAAACAGAAGTTATTTTACAAAAATCAGCAAACTGCAACAAAGTGAGAACAGAACTCATCTCCAGTCAGCTGCGAGCAGAACAGGATTGGAGAAAAACACTAGAGCTTCAAAGGGGAGCTGTAACATAGCCACCTATTTATAGCTACTAAAATATAGGTTATTCTAACCATATTTACTCTTAGTATTAGTATAGGCCTACTTGTTTTTTAGTACAGCCCGTGATAATTAATACATTACAAAAACATTGTACAAATTAAAAATTAGGCTAAAAGAAAGTCATCCCACTCCTCTACGTCTACTTCTATCATCGCTTGGATTACTGCGTCACGCGCCGCCTTTTTGAACGTGATTTGAACATTTGGCAGATTACGCTGCAGCACTTATATTATTGCACTGGTTGGCTGTTAACTGCGAGCAGACAGAGTGTCCATCAATGCACTGGAGAATACGGCCAACATAAATAAAGAAACGAAGTTGCTTGTCAGATTTCCCTAACAAGCAACCATATTTTTTAAAATAAGCCCAAAAAACCGCAACCGGGATTTTTTCACGCAACTTTACAAAAAAAAGAAGCCTAAAGTTGCGTATAATACATGGACTTGCCAACTCTGGTGTAAACGGGGTCAAAACGCCTGTGATCTGACCTTTGACCCCACTCAGAATACATCATAGTTTCTGCATATAGCCTAATTATTCATCTGTCTGCTCTATAAACATGTTTCTTTTTCTTCCGGTTGCTGGGTTCAGTTGAATATATCTTAATGTATATTTCTGAATATATATCAAGTAGATTTTTTAGTTTCAGAGTTTTCCAGAAGTCGCTCGTCCACACGATCAGGCCTGAAAACTCTTAAATCACTGCAGTAAACATCATAAACGCTCACTGAGATGATTCAGAGAAGTCTGACGTGAAGTTCTCATGCTGTTCTTCTGGCACATCCCAGCGCTCACTGCTGCTCTAAACCGCTCATCATCTCACTGCAGCTTTACTCACGTGAACCGCACACAGCACTGATGTATATGAGTATAATATGCATCACATGACTAAACACACGTCAGCGTTTCACAGTCCAGACTAAACTCGCATTGATCCATGTGGGAGAGCGTCTTCAAAACAAAAAAGCCGTCTCAGTGTTGATGACAGGCTAAAACACAGGGAAGAGGTGCGTCTTCAGATGCAGGTTCAGGTTTCGTTGTGTGTTTGAGCCTCTAAACGGCTCTGGTGTGGGTCTGTTTGAGATGAATGAAGTGTGTGTGATGTGAACAGGTGCCGCGGGAGGACAGCCGGAGGAGACGGCCTCGTCTTCACGTCAGTCTGCGGGTCTGGGGCTCCTCGCTGGACTCTACGGTGATGATGATGATGATGAAGAAGCTAAAGACGGCGTCCCGGCCGCTGGTCTCCCGGTAGATTTCTTCGACAGCAGCGGCGTCTCCTCCGTCTCTCACTCCGGCTCAGTGTCCAAACCGGACGACGGCGAGGAGAGCACCACAGAGAGGAAGGACCACGCGGCCGAAGCCTTACCGGAGGGCTTCTTCGACGACCCGGTGCGCGACGCTAAAGTGCGTCAGGTGGACACGCCGCGAGACCAGATGGACAAGGAGTGGGAGGAGTTCCAGAAGGAGATGCGGCAGGTGAACAGCGCGTCTGACGCCATCGTCGCCGAGGATGATGAGGAGGGACGCCTGGAGCGGCAGATCGACGAGATCAACGAGCAGATCGAGTGCTTCCGGCGGGTGGAGGTGTTGCGCACCAGACAGGAGGTGAAGAGCGCGATGGAGAGAGAGAGACGGCAGAGAGCCGAGGCGCAGCCAGACGCTGGCGAGGAGGAGGAGGATGAGGAAGAGCTGATGCATGTGCTGACGCAGGACTGGAGGGCCAAAGGTGCTCTCGCTTAACACCTTCAGTGTTTCTCTGATGTTTCTAGTTTTGTTTGTTACTGCTTCTGTACAGAGATTTATTAAATCAGAATGCATTGTGAAGTTTTCATAAAGCACATGCGGTTCGTCTGTAGTTCTGCAGATGCTTTGATCTGCTGGTTTTTCTCCGTCTCAGATTCCTCACTCTTATTATCTCTAATCATCAGAATGGCCTGCAGCTACTTCACAACACACCTGCGAACAACACCGGCGTTATTATCAGTTCAGAGCTGGACGAGGACAATATAATATAAACAGTCAATATTTGTGGTGTGCAATGAATGATGATAAAACACAATGTATGCGTATATTTTATATGCGCAATAATTTTTTTATTCAGTTGACAGCCGTAATATACACACTTTGCATTAAGAATTAGGGAGTGTAAACATTTGAACAGGATGAAGATGTGTGTATTTTGTTAGATATTGTTTTCATACAGTACTGCCCTTCAGAAGACAAATAATATACTTGCATAATTCCCAGAAGACAAAAAAGGCCAATGTCTGACTAAAAACAGACGTAGACTGTGTCTGATCAGGGTTAAGAAGAGAACGATCGGCTCGTCTGATGATTGAGTTTAAAACGAATCCTGACAGGTCACCAATAAAGAGATGATAATAATGGGCTGTTATGATCATATTTCTTGGTTTTAGTAACGCACTCGACTGCATTCTGAACATCCACGCAGAAGCAGATCAAACACTTGAAAAAGCAATTGTTTTTATTATACCAGTAAATGTTAACCCTTTTCTCTTGTGAAATACAGAATGTTCTAATGAATACTTTCCATTTTATATCCAGAAATGATAAATGGTCAATTAAAAACTCTATACTATACGATCTATCTGAACTACAGGGGAAAATATTCAAACATTAATGGCCATTTAATGTCCAACAAGGCAAGAAAAAGTGAAAGAAACTCTTGTTGGCAACCCTAACATCACTCTATATATGAAGGGTTCATATCTTTTGTGTTCCTTGGCAATGCCTAAATACAGGACAAGAACAAGCAGAAATATAGCTACACAAACTTAAATAAAATTAGCTTTTATTCATGTTACATTAAAGAGAACATGCAAAACACATGTACATTTCGTCTGATCACACATCTTCCTACTGCTTAAAATTAGTTTCATACATAGAAATGTCCAGTTCTACAATATGTACAGCTTTTATCTGGTTTCATGAAGCGACAGTAAAGTTTGAGACATGATTTCCAAACGTCTGCAGCCCAACACAAGCGGAGTGCAGAAACCATTCACTCCACTCAGAAATAGATATATATACACACAAACATTCATGATCTCCATCCTCACCCTGTTCCTCTACAGATCAGAAACGCTTCGCACAAGCAATTACTCTCAAACATTACTTAAAAACTAAATCTGATAAAAGACAAGTGCACTGCATTATACTCTCTTAAATATCTGATGATTATATCGACTAAAAGCAGTTGTATGGATCATATTATTGCTAGATCTGACAGATCTTCATTTCCCTCAGTTCATACAGACGTCAAAATCATTCTTCAGACAGATAAATATTTAAATATGTAAGAGTGAATCTCGTGAAATCAGGTCACACTTCAAGAATCATGGGAGTATTTGTCGAAGAAAATGAAGCCTAATTGTATTAAGACTGTAAGAGGCATTAATAGATGTGAAATAAACACTGAGCATTTTCTCATGAATTTAATGCATCCAGATTTTTGCTTCTGATGAGTTTATAACTATTTTTACAGGTGAATCTCATGACAGTAATATACCAGTTTACTGTATTATTCTGCAAAACAGATTGATTAAATCAGCAGTACAAGAAAAACGAGCATGATTTATTTTTGTCATTACAGGAATGAGATTCAGGCTAAAACTGCATTAAAACAACGTCAGAAATTCACAACATCTTAATTTTCTTTTGGTAAGATATACGTCCTTTGATTTTGTGCTGATTTATGGCCTGTTCCTGACAGGTGTGTGAGATGAAGGCGTCTGAATCTTGTAATTATCTGATAATCCGGCGGGTTACGGGTCTCGTTAAGGGTTTTAAGCTACTTGATCAAACTCCGCTGAGCAGAACAAACACGTCCAGTGCGTGAGGAGCGACTCTGAGGTCAGTCAGTGTGTAAACCGCCAGCGTCGGTGAATCAGTGAATCTGACCGCTGTCCCTCCTCACTGACGCTCGTCATCAGGACTGACCTCAGCAGCCTGCAGCTCCTCCAGCGAGTCTCGCTCCGAGCCCAACACCTCCTTCAGCTCCTCAGGGGCCAGAGACGAACGGCCCCGCAGCCGCTGCTCCACATCTGACCGCAAAAGAGCAAAAGCATTCAGACGTGAGGGAACGAGTCATCTGGTGGATGAATGAACATCACAAGCACAGGAACTCAGCCAGGTCACGTTTAACCTCAAAATCAACAGCAATGTAAGAAATTAACACAAACACATCATGGCCATCTATAGTGTCTGACGTGAACCATGAGCTGGAGGATCTAGTTTAGATAAAAGAAACGAACGTAATCTAGATTTTTTAATTTCGAGCTGTCAATTTAACATCTTAACGACTGACTGCGTGATTGAGTCTATTAGAGTGCAGTGATATGAGCCTGAAGTGAGCCAATGATTCAATGACTCATTCATAAAGAGAGTCACTTGCTTCATTTCTGAATGAATTAGCCATCTGTACAAATCGGCTGAATGAATGATTCAATGACTCGCTCATTACGACAGTGGCTCGCTGCCACCTACTGGCATTTTAGTTTCATATTTAGAATATCATTTAATTTTTATAAAAATCATTTCAATATTCAATTAAAAAAACCTGAATACCCATTTATTATCATTATTTAGGCAATGCTGAATCAAAATATTTTGATTCTAAAGCTACTTTTTTGTAATGTCTATTCGATGCTTTTCTCAAAATAATGACTTTAAATGGTGTTTTTTGGGGTAATTCTCAGCCAAAACTGATGTGCGATTAATTAGATGAATTAATTGGCACATCATGTAATTGATTTGATAAAAACTTTTAATTGCTTGACATTTCTAGTTTTTGTATTTTGTGCATATGTCAAGTCACTCCTTCAGTGGACTCCTGTGAACAAGAAACGAGAAAAATAAGACTAAAAAGCAGCAGTGAGTGTGTTTAACGCACCTCTCTCAGACTCGACCCCGGGAAACGCCACGGTGCTGCGGGAGGACATCTGTGCTCGTTTATAGCGTCTGCGGGACAGAAACCTGGGGCGGCGGGAGCGTGAGGAACCTGGAGATCAGAGGAAACACACATCACTCATCACAGCTGTCCTGAGTCAGCGTAAGCTCGTGAGATCTGGAGCGGCACACATACCAGCGTCTGCGGCGTCTGCAGCGGTCTGAAGAGTCTGGAGCGGACGGACGGCCGGCGGCAGCTGCGGGAGATGAACAGCGGTCAGTTATCGGAGAAACAGCTGCTGAATGAAGCTCTGTGAGGTGCTCGTGATCTCACCGGGTCTCCTGAGGAGCTCTGCTCCAGCGCTGACACCCATCTGCTCAGGTTAGACAGCACGAATCGCACGCTCTGGATCTGCTCGCTCGACCACGACTGATGGAGCAGCAGAGAGCTGTTCAACTCCTTCACATCATCCTGAAGATACTGCAGGTCCTGTCACATCAGCATCACACAGAACACACATCACTGAGACTTCAGCTTTTGAAAGAAATGACCTGTGATTGCAAAGCCACGTTTCTACACACACTCTTCCTCAGGATGAAGCTAAAGGCCGTCAATGGTTTCTATTTACAACTTCTGCATGTTCATAAATGCTTTCATCATAACCAGCAAAGTATAAAGCTGATGTATAAGTGAATGAGAGATGCAGTGAACAGAACTGACTGACAGCTCCAGTGATTCACTTTCTGCACATCTCCTGTGTATTTCTGGAACAGGTTCGGTGGGCGGCTGCGATGCTGACCGTGATCGATGTGTTTAGGTCCGACACAGTGACGTCTGAGATTCCTCACAACACGTCTGGCAGCGGACCTCAACACATGAACGAGCGTTTACACTAAACATGTGGCGTGATCACGTGTGTTTCTGTGCTTTCAGTGATCTGATCCAATCACAAAACTGACTTTGACCTTTTCAAAGCAATATTTGTAAGTTACATGCTAATATATTTAATGTATTATTTACTTGTATTATTAATAATGTATTATTATTATCATTAATTATGAACTTATTACCATGACCCTACAGGGGACAAGTGAATGGATAGATGGATGGTTCTGATTAGTTCTGAAGCTGAGAATGAATCATTAAAAGAATCGGCTCAAAGGAGTCAGTTCTTTGTGAATCGGACTACACTGATGTGTGTTTGTTTTTGTGTGCAGCTTGCGAGGACAGAAGGATTGTGTGGTCTTCATTTATCTCAGAACATTCAACTCAGGCTGCAAAATCACACGCAGAATTCGGGTAAATATAACGCTGGAGATTCATGATCACAACAGAAGCGTTTCTCGTGAGTTTACCTGCTTCAGCGGCACACAGCTGCTGCTGATGTTCACCGGCTTCTCTCCATTCTTCAGAAATCAAGAGAAAGCATTATAAATAAGCCTCACAGTGGACACACATCAACACAATCACTCTTACTTCACATTATAAGCAGACACTGATATGAAGCACATCTCAAGAATCTAAAGCTACTAGCATGTTCTAAGGTGAACTAACCCTTAAACAAACAATAAAATACTGTTTAGTAGAAAGCAGTGTGAAACATACGGCCTTCAGCTGATCTTCTCCTTTCCTTCTCTCTTCCACGACAGACTGAATCATGGTGACGTCGTGCTGGACGCTGGTGACGGTGCTGCCGATGCTGGCCACGCTCTACACACACACACATACACACACACACAGATCAGTGTGAGCTCACGTCTGACACACGCGTGTGATCTGCCTGAAACACACCTTCTGCAGCTCCTCCACCGTCCGCGGCAGCGTGATCAGATCAGAAGCAGATTTGATGTTGGCCTTCAGATGATTGACAGCAGAATCCAGAGCACTGAGCTGAAGAGACAGCAGCTCAACATTAACTTCAATCACACTGACATCTTCAGATGAGATCACGCAACGATTCTTCACGTGTTTCAAAACCAAACTACAGTGAGAGGAAAACACTGAGAGAAGCGTGTAATTCATCTTCTGACGCACCTTCTGATTGATCTCGCTCAGATTGGACCAGAGTTTGGCCAGGCCTTTGTCTCCGCTCTCCAGCTCGTCCAGTTTCATCTGTTTGGCCTTCAGGTCCTCACTGAGCTTCAGGATCTCGTGAGATGAGAGCTTCTGACTGCTCTCCACTGTCAAACACCAACCAGACCATCATGAACATGCTTTCCAGTCTAAACAGTGGGTTAATGCTGATCACATCTGTGATGTAACATAATTCAGGCTGGTGAAAGTGTCTCTATATGAGGGTGGCTGATGACTAAGAGTGAATGACGGAAGAAGTGGAGATTATTATTATTATTATAATTATATTATTATTAAGACTAATGTGTATTTCTTTGTAATAATGTGGCTGACGAATCGTTCACCATTACAGCAGGATCATTAGTTGAGTAAATCAGCTTGATTTCATGTAGTCTTTCAGCAGCTGTAGTGTGCTCCGACGTACTAGTGTGGATCTTCTCCTTCATGGAGTCCAGGTCCTCTTTGAGGGCGATCTGCATCCAGATGAGTCCAGCGCAGGCCATGACACACGCCGCCAGAACCACGAACACACACAGCGGGTAACAGAGCGAGCAGCACCGCAGCGAGGTCCTGTCCAAACACACAACACACTGAAGCACAGCCCCAGCAGTCGCCGACGGATCACATCTTTAATATTCACTGATATTCATCTGTCACAATGCTGTAACTGAAGCCAGCACTACTCTTGTATCTCGTTCTCTCAGCTGCATCACATGACTGTCATGTTTGAAATCGTTCGTTCCTATTGGCTAGAAGCCGACTGCAAGGATCTGATTTTCTTTGCAGATGTTTTGAGTTCATAAGGTATTTCAAATCAAATCAAAATTTTGTGTCCAGTTTTGATGTATGTGGCAAGTAGGCGTGTAATGAACACTTTAGGTCAGTCCTGCTTTAGCTCCTGTTAACTTCCAGCCGGCTGTACATTATTATTGCTTATTTCAGGGCTCAGAGTCGTTTCTGTGCCAGATTTCCCTCTATTGTGTGTTACAGACCCTGTACAGCTATATCTGAGACAATGACAGCGGAAATACTTTCTTCCTAAAACAAGAAATCCAGCGGAAGAAACTGAGCTTCGTCCTCTCACTCGCACAGACTGATCCTCACACTTTAACAGTATTTATAGCTACTGAAATAGTAAAAGAGGCTGTGACTGTGAGGAACCATGAACTCGGTGCAGATCCGTGTGGAGGTGTGCCAGACCTCATCTAATGAACATACATCTGTGCTGTCGCTCTGCTTTAGTGCACGAGTTACCAACCTGCCTCACCTAGTGTTTAATTCATCCTTCCCTGATCAATCTATTCCATAAGACACAATAATAACTCAACTGCTGAGGAGATTCTTCTGATGGTCTGTATGTTTGCTAACACTTCAGATGAGTCACTAGTCGCTTATTAACATGCATATCATTATGTTTATTAGTGCTTATAAAGCACATATTAAATGTGTTATTCTGCATGATCATATACCTACAACAACTACCTTACTAGGAGTTTATTGAGGGAAAACTCGTGGTTAATAGTGTTCTCTCATCTAAAGCTTGACGGTGTGTTTTCTTCAGAACACATCTGAGCTCTTCACAGCAGAGACTGAACTGAGATCCACAACTATTACACAAGCTGCAAACCTTCACTGCTGCTGAAGAAAGAAAGAAAGATGACATGAAGAACCAGGAGATATATGTCAGTATCTGAGGTGTGAGAGAGCCTCGTCATGAAGCTCATTTCTAAGCACCTGCAGATTATCCTCTCTATAAAGCAGGTCAGCTAGCAGTCTTAACTAGCTGGTTGACACCTCAGTTGAACAGCTCTCACTCACTTCCCGAGCAGGCCGCTCCGGCCGCCGAACTGCTGCTCCTCGGAGCCGGACTCGGACTCGGACTCGGGCTCGGACTCCTCGGACTCGGGCGGCTCGGTCCGCAGCAGGCGGTGTCCGCTGCTCTGCTTGCTCTTCCTCCGGCTGCTGTCGCTCAGGCCGATGAGGGCGTTCAGATCCTTCCTCTTCTTCCTCTTCTTCTGCGGGCTCATCGCGCGGTTTGCCGTCAGTGTGAAGCGGCGATCTGAGGGACTCCACAGCTCCGCGTCAACACGGCACCCATGACATTAAACCTTTAGTTTAGATTTACTTCCTCTTTCTGTCGCGTCGGAATCTGTCGTCATGGCGCAAATATTTACATTAAACATATTATCGGTAAAGAATCAGATCTGTCTTCAGAATGAACATCCGGTCCTGACAGGAAGAGCTCCTGATTGGAGGAACACAGAAGAGCATAGATATATAGGTAGAAACCTCATTCGGCAGCGCCATCTTGCAACGGTCAACGTGACGTCGTTCACTATAATAATAAATGAATATTCGAACATACCTCAATCCTGCACAGCCGCTGGCTGTAAAAACTGCCGGGAAACGGGATAACCTTTCCCATGTGAGAATGCGAGAGAGGGGCGGAACCACTGATATGTAAGGATTGTGGAATCTTTGAATATTCATTGATTATTATTATTATCATCGAATGAGGCATCTACGTATAGACCCTATGCAGGTGGGCGTGTCGTTGTGCGGCTGACGTCATCGGGAAGTGACGCGCTCTATGCGCCTTTGCAGAACCATTGATCACAGTGTTGTTCCTAATTACATTCGAGTAAATTACACCACTGACTGTATTTACTCATCTAAACATAGACTTCAGATCACTTGGCAGAAAGCAGTTGTAACCCTCTGACAGTATTTCTGGTGTTTAGAGGAGAATCTGATGATGAATCAGGAGTGATGCTTAACATCTCTGACCTCTGTGCTTTTATATGTTTTTGTCTCTGAGGTGTGTTAATTTTTAATCTATTTGGTTAAATATAACGAACTCATTCAGGCGAGATTCAGCTGTAACCGCTCAATAACTCTGTGCTGCTGTAAGCCAGAGCTAAATGACTAACACATGAGAGACAGCCTTTCATTTTCATAGCTACATCTCTTTAATTCATTGGCTTTATGCCAGTCATTTGACGTGAACATCAGGAAGGAACCGGTTTTTAATAAAGCCTGTGACAGTCTCACGGCTGATCTTCGACTGGGAACACAAGCTGAGGATCTCTGTCCTCACAGCGAGACCTCCACCCTCAAGTCCATCTGAAAAGTCTAACCCTTCAGTAAAACAGATGAGAGCGGGTCATCCTAAAACATGGTCACTTTTTGAAGAAGCCATCAGTAAAGCCAGCAGATGTGTGTGGTGCAGCTGCTTCACACTCACAATCACATCTGCTGCAGTATTTGGTTTTTAATGTACTTAAGTATTAAAAGTACTAATCGGTGACTGTTTTTGTACATTTTAACTTTTGTTTTAATTTTTATATAATCCTACTACTCAAAATACCTACATATATAAAATACACACGTGTGTGTGTGTGTAGAGCATTTATTTTTATAGTATAAGGGACAAAATGATGAATGTAGTGAAATAAAAGTCAGTTTCTCAAAATAAAAATACTCCGATAAAGTACAGATAATTGAAAAATGTACTGAAGTACAGTAACGAAGTATAAAAAAATGCTTTGTTGCTGTCCTCCACTGCCATTGTTTCCAGCAGAGGAACATTCGCCACAGAGCCAGCAATACTCGCTGTGATCTGATGAGGTTTGCAGCTCATTCTCCAGAGCAGCAGCTTAAAGAGGCTCTGTGACTCAGACGCTTTGCTCAGAGCTTTCTTACACTGTATGATTATCCAGGCTTCTTACAGCCGTATTAGCCTGAACCTTTGCTTTAAAGCAACAATATATTTATGTTTTGTGATATAAAATTATTCTATTGCATGTAATGTATGGTTTACTGTGATATTAATGTGATTTTATGTGTATGATAATTACAGATTCAGTCTGTTCCACTGCAAGGAAAGTCATACGGGTTTGTAACGACTTGAGGGTCAGAATACACTATAAATAAAACAAAATTAATGCAACACTTTGATTATTTATGTTTTATTTATGATTGTCTGAAAGTTTGTGGCACATAATTAGAAAAAAACAATTCCAACTGCATAAGCCTCAGTGCTGAACAGAAGGTTTGAGGGGTCTGTGCAGGTTTAGCGCCCAGTGTCTTCACATCTCCAGTGTAACTGAGCTCAGAGTCGCTTCGCTTCACTTCAGTTCAGTTCTCACAGCGTCTCAGAGGCGGTTGCGCGCGGGTCCTAACCCCGGCGGCGGGCCGCTGCACTGCGGAGGCTGCTGGTGATGCTGGGAGCGTCTGGAGCCGCGCTGATGCTGGGATCTGCTCTGCGTCCAGCGTTTCGGAGCCGGTAACGCCTCACACAGATGAGAACACGTGGTGATTCCGCAGAACAGAGTCTCATCGGCCTGCGAGGAGCCCTCAGAGCTGCCGTCGGACATCACGTCTCTGCCGTCTGGACGAGGGCCCGTCTCCAAACCCAGAGGACCGATGGTGGTCTGGGGAATCCCGTCTGCGAGCGGTGGAGCGGCCAGCGTCTCTGGACCTTTGCTGAGCTTCACTTTGTGTTTCTTCTGTAAGAAATAGAAGCTGACTGTAAAGATGTTGCAGTTTTCCGGGTTTATTACCCCTAAAAACCAAAGTCTACAACAATTCATCAACAATGAAACACCCGTCGTACTTTTCTACTAACTTGACAATCTTCCCACTGCTTAAAGCTGTTGGTTTCTCCTGAACCGCCTGAAATAAAGAGCAACAATAGCCAGAGTTTTACATCCACAGCAGGAAAAACATGTTTGTCTCTGCAAACTTCACTGCCAACAGTGTGTCTGATCTCTAAACAGCACAGCATCTCAACACACACGATCTGATGAGGTTTGATCACAGCACTATCTGAATGCATCACGAACTCACCGTCAGGCATCTGGAGGGACGAGAGTGACGGCGGATCAGAGGCTCTGCGTCTCAGCAGCACGGGTTCACCATCAGACGGCTCTCTGGAAACACAACAACATCACATGCTCATTCAGACACAGATCACATGAGTCCTGCAGCAGGAGCTCGTCACTCACACACAGCTGCTGGACTGTAAACCCCTGACGGAAGAGCTCGTCTCCTCACCTCTCTGGGCAGCAGGATCTCTGGGAATCGACGGCAGGACTCTCTGATATCTGACGATAGTTCACACAGATCAGCAGCCACAGAAGAACACAGAGAAGCAGACACAGCAGGATGTAGCTCTGCCTGTCAGACACCTGCAGAACACAGCAGCAGCAGCAGCAGCATCACCATCATCCTCATCATCCTCATCACGGGCTCTCAGCCACAGGCGTCTCATTCATCCATCTCGGTTCATAAAGTGCTGTCATTTCTGAACAGAGCTGCACAGTCTTATCAGCAGTCAATGTGTTATCGGCTGATAGCTGGGAAAATTCAGTTATAATCAGCTTTCACCGATAAGGGAATTTGCACTGATATTTTCAGCGATAATTTCTTCTGGTAAATTTGTGCTAACAGAGAATCTGTGATTACTTGCATCTCTCATGAAAATCACTTCAACATCTTTGCACTGCAATGCATTCATTGTTAGCTCATTTTAATCAATCATCTGCTGTAAATAAAAGATATGATATTTTAAATATTCTGTTATGCATCACAATGAAACATGGTCCACGACACGAGACACAACACTAATGTAATATCATTTAATAAAGCAGCATAATATCTGTTATACAGTCACACTGCTTCTGGTGATCAGTTTCTAATTAAAACAGCAGATTCATTTCAGTCGGTGATATCGATGGATCCCTGTTCCTGCAGGCTTACTGCAGAAGTGTTTTGTGATTATTAACTGACAGTGAACAGGCTGATCACCTCTCGCTGCAGTCGACTCACGCTGACAGACAGACTGAGCACAAGCTGCGTCATGTTCTCCAGCTGAGCCTGCAGAGCCTGGATGGAGTCCGTCTGCCTCTGATCCTGAAATCACAGCATACACACGGCTCAGAGAAACACAGAAACATACGACACTGAGACGGAGAACAGGAAAACTGTGTGCTGATGCCGATCTTCACGTCATCATGTCTAAACAGACTCTCCACAGGAGGAACCTGGACTGAACGAACTAATCCAGATTTGTTTGAATGAATTTAGACTCGAGACGTCTCTGACCTGCTCCTCGGCCATTCTGGAGGTGTTCTGAAGCTTGATGATGGTTTTGTTAAAGGCTTTCTGCATCTCCTCCACCTGCTTTCTGTATCTGGACCAATGAAACACAAGCAGATTCACTAAAGGGAAAAAATAACCAAAATCTCATATCACATTAACAGTATACATTACAATAGAGTTATTCTGAGTCTCAGTGGCACACACCTTTGGCTCAGCTGCTCCAGGTAGCGTCCGCTGAGCGACATGTTCATCTCCAGCACCTTGATGCGATTGTTGAGCCTCATGAAAACAGACTCTTTCTGATTGGAGCCGTGTGCGTGCGCGTCGCTGGAGTTCTGCGTTTCTGTGTAGATCTGCTCAATATGAGCGCTGCTTTCATCATCGAAGAGCTCCTTGCGTTTGGACTCTGCTGACCCTGTGAACCCGTCTGAGGGATGAACGGGATGATCCGGCGTCAGCGCTTCACCGGGGACTGCTGGTTCATCCACAAGAGCGGATACAGAGGAGAGCTGAGACTCGTCTGCTGTATTCATGGAAACAGTAGGAGTTGAAATGTCATTTTCAAGGCTGACCTGCTCTGATGAGACCGACAGCAGCTCACGAGCGACCTGATCTCTCCTCAGTGCAGCAGAGGTGGTCATGACGTCTGAGAGCGTCTCAGGATTGGGTTTCTCGCTGGACTCACTCAGACCATCAGTGCTCTGCTGAGGAACTGTGGCTGTAAGGCACTCGGTGGCAGACGGACACATCAGCTCAATGGGCTGCGTGGCTCTGGAGGACAGAGAGTCAGCAGAAACCAGCCTGAGCAGATCTGAAGTCAGACTGGGAGCAAGATCTCGGGCGTGAATGACAGGACTCTCCGGCTCCTCTGTGACTGTGGTTATAGCTGGGGTCATGACGGCTGGAGCAGCGTAAGAACGTGAGCTCGGCTTCCTCTTCTGGATAAAGTCTGGAGAGGAGCAGCGCTGCAGAAGGTGCTCTTGAAGCGAGACTCTGTGTGAACGGGAGCAGGCAGATTCAGAGTGCACTGTGTTTTCATTCACATGATCCGTTTCAGACACGTCTGTGATTCTCCCAGAGGACCGATCCGGCTCGTCCTCGGCGTCGGGCAGCAGAGTGACGATCTGCTCTACGTCAGGCGTGGTTTGGACCGGAGCGTCTCCA